ATTAGGTACAAGGAAGAAGCACCTGGTGTATTAAATACGACCCTAATTTACCTTCCTTCTTACACCAAAAATGTTCGGATAATGTAATTAAAAGTATGACTTGTAATATGTTCTATCTACCTACATACTTTCTGGCAATATGAATTTAAGTTTCTGTTTCAGTTTATATTTGTCATTAGTAGGGGAGACCGGGGTAGGTTGTAGCAATCTTAAGATTTTGATTTTTTTTTCAGTTATTTTTTATTTTTCAATATTTCCACTGTTCATATTTTATTGTGTAAAGTTGTTTTTAAATAAATTTAAAACTCTTTGGTTGGTCCAAGAAATTATGAAGCTTTGCATTTGTTACAATGGGTACATTGTAACAAATGCATGGGGTAAATTGTAACAGGGTCCGGTGTAAGTTGTACCATTACCATTGCGTAATCGCATATAAAATATTACAAATAAATGCCTTTCTGACGAAATAAAACATAGAGAACTGCATTATTACTGGCTTTATTAAAAAAATCAAATAAAAAACATTAAGTAAAAAAAGTAAACAAAATTAATCTTCTAATTAAAACAAACCTGATTTAAGAAAAATAAACAAATCTTGTGAATAAATTAAAAAACAAATAACAGATACACGCATTTGCAAAAAAACTTATTTGCGATTCTTAATGATTTGACTGTCTTTGTGTCTTTTAGTCATTGTCAGAATCGCAGTGGTAACACGTATAATCTGAAGATATAAACGGTGTGCATTCTTCGTGTGCCCACTCTTTGCATTTACGGCACTGAATCCACACTTCCCCAGGTTTACTGTTGTAATTATCGCAGCAAACAATACAAATGGTGTCAGCTTCGTCAGATGGTTCTAGTAGCACTTTCCTCTTTGCTGCTTTTAACTTATTTTTTGCTGCTACTGGCATTTTATCTACTTTTGGAAGTTTTGTGGCAGCTTCACATTTTAAAGCGTCTAGTTCAGGTGTATCAGTTAGAACCGCAGGCTTTCTTTTTTTCCGAGCTCTAGTTGAAGAAAAATCAGGGCTCTGCGAAGTAGAAGGATCCAGAGGTCAAATTTGTATAATTCTCTAAATCAGGAACTAAAAAAGTAGAAGTAGTAGCCTGATAAACTCAGGAGGTAGTAGGTCGATTTAAATAACCAGCTGTTGAAGTAGTTGGCTGGTTATCTTTTGTTTCTGGAAGCGCATCATGAGGAGTAGTTAGTATCAGGTTCTACTGGCTCTATTTGAAGAGTTTTAACAGAGGAAGATGGCTGGTTATCTACTTGTTCTACTAAAGCTTCAGATGCAAAGGGCGGTGGCCGATCAGTATCACTTGCCGATAAAAAATCGTCTTCACTGAATATGTTTCCGTTGAAAGGTTTTATGCCGGTACACTGAAAGCTTTTAGTAATACTTCAGGATCTAAGAGCCAAAGGCAAAGCTTCGCCAGTCCGGGTATGTCGTAAATGGTCATTGATTTACCCGGATTATTTCGCATCCAAGTATCGGTATTGACTGAAGTCCAACAGTCCGTGGTTAGTGTGACAGATTTGGCATTTTTAACTATGGATTGGACTTTGTTTACTCTTTTTTCATAAATTTCTGGTAACAAAGTGTTACTAACGGTTTTCCTCGTTGGTATCTGATAATTTGGGTTTAAAGCGTTCACAAAATTACGAAAACCTTGATCCTCGACTATGAGTAGTTCTCAGGAATTTGCGAAAATCGTGTCCATTCTTAGTTTTATATATTATTAACGTTGTATTCTAGACTTTGTATTTTTTCACGAAAACTATACTACTAAAGCTACTCGAGCCATACTTAATTTAAGTGTTACAGTCTCACAATAATAAATGGTAAATATCAGAATACTTAAATTATCATTCCCTCATCGTGTCCCAAACTCAAAATTTTAATTACATTGTATCATTAATTTATTGTAATCTGTGAATTTGACTAGTTTTGATCATTACTTATTTTAAAAATAGTGCATTTAACAGTACATACCCTTTTCATTAGGTACCGAGTAAGAAATCATTCGAAAATTTAATTTTTATCTGGGTCCCAAAAAAAATCATTCCCTCACTGTTTACTAAAACCTGGATTATACTTTTACATCGGATCGTAGGTTGCCGCGCTTATAAATTTTTTGCAGTTGACAGCATTGTCAATGAAGCCATACCATCATTGTTAGAAGGCGCGAAGAGATGTGTTGTTGTCATATGGTTTTTATTTAATTATTCAAATGTTACATTTTTATGTCTCATTAGCTCACACCGTCTGAATAAAAGGTAATTATATTATTTGTAATGATCATTATGATTTTTCACATGTTTTGAGAACTGAAAATCTTGCCTCGAATCGGAATTTAATTTGAGGTTATGATTGACCAGTTTTTGTAGGTTATGTTTGATTTTATCATTTCCTCACTATCATTCTCTCACTATTCTATTAATGAGGGAATGGGAATTTATGAGGGAGTGATGAAATCAAACATAACCTACAAAAGCTCATCAAAAATAACCTCGAAATAAATTCATTTTAAGATAAAATAAGACGTTTATTGTGTTAACTTAATCTAAATATAGTAATGTTTAAAAAATTCATTCCCTCACTTGAATCATTATTCCCTCATAATTGATTTTTTTATCATCACTTTATTATCATTAATATCAAGAAAAGTTGGGGACTACATAGTCAGCTGGGGTAAGTTACTCATGTACTGTGAATTGAATATATGAAATTTTTAATTATTGCAAATTATATTCTTATTATTATTCGAAGTAATTTTTTGCAAATTTGTGAGAACTACTCACTAATAGGCTGATAATCCCTAGTAATCAGTTCTACCAAACATCGGTCAATTTTATTTTGTACAAGTCGCCCCATAGTTTTTGGGGCGCACTACAGTTTTGTCTGTCTAATTATTTTACTACTTGAAGAAGCTAATTCCTCATCAGTATCACTTTCTTAAATTTTTTCTGTACTTTGTCCTGCAGATATGTTTTCATCATTATTTAATGTTTTTTGACTACTTTGTAGAATTATGGACTTATCTTTATCCTGGTCATCGCTCATTTTTATTAGAGGGTGCTTTCGTTCTAAATGCTTCCTTAAATTAGTAACAGAAGTTTTATAACTAACTATTACAATTGGCTTTTTTACCCTCTTTATCAGGTTCAAAATAATTCCAAATAATTGACTTATTCCGTCTATTCATATTAAATATAAAAAAATATGGTAATCAAAACTTAGAAACACTTAAGTATATTGAAAAAGAAACGAAATACGAAATGCAAAATGTTAATTTTTAATGAGTGAATCCCCGATATAATGAAAAGAGAAAAGTCGAAATTAATAACCACAATCATATTATTTATTTTGGCCCTGGCTCTAAGATGTATTTGATCAGTTTCAACCAATCTTCAAGAAAAGAAAATAAAATGTATTTATACGAAATTTTCTCTATAGTCATTAATTTATAGATAGACAAATTTTACTAAAAACAGATAGCCATAACAAACTTATTACTATCGCTATGTGTGAAATATGAAAAATATCTAAAAGCTGCTCCGTAAAATAGCAGTATTTTGTCACTGCTTCTTTGTCATAGCAGAAGCGATTGTCACTGCTTCTTAAAAATTGCTTGCTTTACCCATCTCTAGTTGTTGATGCACGAAATCGTAGCCCTGACCCTGACGTATCATTCTGTTGGTTGCTACGGGCAACATTACTACCTGCCCCGTGTTACATCGTGCCCCGGTCTCCCCTAGAAAATGTATTACTTTTTATAAATCAATTATTTAATAATTAAATTGTACAAGGGTTGATCGCCAAGCTGCACCTTTATTTACACTAGTCTGTCAGATTTAAATTTTTGACAGTTTGACATATTGACAATCTAGTTTGTGATATGTTGTTCCATTTCTTTTTAAATCTAGGATGGCTATGAGACTCGAACAACTATCACTCTGCATTGTTATACTGTTCTTATTTTTCTTTATTTATTTATCTATAGTTCTTCTTGTTCGCAAACAGCTCCCCAAAAAAAAATTAACGTTACCACTTTCCGTTTTTCCTTTAAACCTTTAATTATTATTGAATATAAATATATACAGGGTGTTATATTCGATAGACAACGCTGCACCACATAGTGCTCTCGTTAAATGATGTATTTTGATCCTTAAATAGCTTAATTACCGAGATACTGGATGTTAAGAATTTTAAAATAAAATTCAAAATCTTGTTCAATACTCGAACTATTAAAAATTTGACACGTGCTTACTAGATTAGAATTTAAAAAAATTTAAGCACATGCAGCAGACTTTTGTCAACTCCATAGGAGGTTCTTACATTTTTAACTTAAAACGAACAGAGAATTTAAAAAAATAAATAAATAAAAAATAATTAAAAAATGTTTGTTCCACTGGCGTAAAAACTAGAAAAATAAATGCGACTAACCTTGATAGCGACCACTGATAAAAAATTTCAAAAGTTAGTTTGTCAAAATATTACTTTTTTAAAGAGCATATTGGTCGCCAAATTTGAAAAAAAAAACTTTTTGATTAATAACAAATTTAGAATTTTGATTTCACAGTTTTAATACCCTGTAGATACGGTGTGATAATATATTGAACCAACAATGCCCTAGAAAGCTTTCAGGACTTAGTTACCGAGATACAGGATGTTGAAAGTTTGAAATAAAAATTCAACATTTTCCATATCAAAAATGCCTTTAAATATAAAAATTTAGTGACCACTGTAATTTTGAAAAAAGTAATATTTTGACATCTACTAACTTTTGAAAAATTTAATCAGTGGCGCGCTATCAGGATTAGTAACAACTTTTATAAATATTATCATTAATTCTTATTTTAAACATATTGGAAAGTTTTTCATGTAATTCCTTGCACTATAACATTACGCTTCTATACTATATCAGTTACGCCACTTTTCCTTGCACCCAAAATTTACATAATATAACCAACAATAATAGCATGTACTACATACTTCAAAGCGAATCCTCCTTCGAGTTGTACCGCTGCAACGCAACGGAACCTCGCTACCAATAAACCACCTGAACCGTGTGGTACTCCGAGTACCGTCAGATAGACGCACAACTAGACGAAACACAAAAAAAAACGATCAAGTGCGATCCACATGCGTATATTGTGGTACCGTTTTGATGGTTCTTACGCGCTGTTCGAGGTGTACTGAATGGGTGCTAGGAAGTGCGGTACCACCGCTGGTACCACTCGCTGGAACCAAAAGGTAGAGAACAGCCGGCTCGCTGAAGAGAAGTGGTACTAGTGATGGCCTACTTTGTTGCTGTATATCTATGCACACGTGTTTTTGATACGAAAATATCAAATTTGACCTGAGAGGTGATCAGCTGTTGGAATATGTGTTGGTTATTTTGGTAGCCATGCGTAGGAGGAATGTAAGAAGTTATATTTTTCTATTTTTTACCATTTCGAATAAAATTACGGCCGACATAACATTATTGTTATTTGAAAATTTTAGTCCATATAATTTTCCTTCTGTTTTGGAAACTGTCTGTAGTTTCGAATGGGGTAGATGTTTTACCAATTGAAATTCCATTTGATGAATAGCAGCATTATCTTGATGAAACAGCACTTTTATGAAATTTTCCACGAGGTTTTTATTCTAACGAATCAGTCAATTTAGACAGTAAAGTCGCGTAATAGCTCCTTCCTGTAGGTAGTCAAACAAAATTACCCCTTCAACATCTCAAAAACTAAGAGCAATACCTTCCCACTTTGAATTTTTGATTTTTTACTCTACACCCCACGATTCATCCATAACAACCCCATCTAGCCAATGGAAGATACGCGTAGACTGGATGAATGGGAAGCAGTTATGAAATTTTAAACAGTAGTTTTCAAAAATCAATCAATCTAAGGAAAAATGTGTGTAAATCATTAAAAAAAATTAATAGTAAAAACATTTTTAAGAACAAGCTTTTATTTAAATGCTCTAAAAAGAAGAAAAATATAACCCTGAGGGCAGTAGTCAAGTCGTGGTGAATGACATATGAGTCCGCCTTATTAAATTTAGAGTGATATCATCTTACTTTCTATAAATAAAAAGTTCCTTGGTTTTTCGGTCAAGTAATTTTAATTTTTTATAATTTAAGCATTCGTATTCTTTTCAGCAAACTATAGCCGAGCGTACCATACCATATCATGATGGTTATCTGCCATCTTGGGGCGTCCGCCATATTGAATTTAGTGTGATTTCATTTTATTTCTTTTTTTTTTCGTATCCTTCTCAACAAACCCTATTAATTGACACCCATATCAAGGGGTGATTAAAAAATAACTAGTCCACCTTCTCTGGTAGTCCGCCATATTGGATTTAGAATGACGTCACTTATGTAACCATGCATTGTCATGGACAATAATAGTATATTATTTAACGAGCGGTAATGCAGGTCATAACTCACGTAGATGAAGTTTGTAATTCATCAAGTGAGTTATGACCATTACCGCAAGTTGAATACTATACTTTATCTACGACTATAATAATAAATACTAAGATACAAGTATCGAGAAAGAATTATATAATTGACTAGATGATAAAAACGTTTGAATCTTTGTAAAAGCTATTACCTTTGTCGCCAGATATTTCTCATGAGAAGCTTCATTTATGAAAGTATTAAGTTGTTATGGCATAAATGTTTTTGCCTTTTAGCTATATGTTTCTCTGATTGACGTTTAAGAAACGCACGTAATTTTGAATAATTCTCTATATTAATTCCATTATTTATGTAGAGTGTGCTTCTTACAAGGAGTAGAAAGTCCATATGCTTTGTATTTATTGCTAAGTTCATTAAAATATGCCAAAAGTACATTTTCTGTAAACGAGTTACACCAATCTTGAAAATTTTAATATACACCTCTATACTTTTTTTTTATTTTTCTGGTAATAAATTCTGTATTGCATTATTATCTCTCTTATTTCTGGAGGTATACATAATAACTTATCTTCACTATCTAAATATATCTTTTTTTAGCACTATTATTAGAAATTGATTTGAAAACGTCAAAATTATCTTGTTAAAATTTCAAATGACATTACTCCCCTCAATGTAATAATTGAGTGTTCCGCCTACTGAGAGGCGTTGACAATTTAATAATTTTAAAATCTTTTAATTATTATTCATTCCTTTCCAGTTGTTAAAAAATCTTTCTAACATTTTACGCCAATAGAACATTTATCGACATTAAAATTTCCAAGAATTTACTGCGCACACTATTTATATACCGAATTATCGTAGAGCCCAGCGTGAGTTATAATAACTCACTATTATAACTCACGCTATTTGTTTATTGATACTATTAATTGCTCAAAAGCTCTTGAATAATTAATATATAAATTAATAGGAGTAGATAAACGTATATATTTTTTTTGTGTCATCGGCATCAACTGCTAAGGTTATTAGTCTCGTGTTCTGTGTAGGCTTTGTTACTGTTTCCCAGCGCCACTTTAGGAACAGCTCTGTTAACCGTATATTATGCAAAATTTAAGCTCAATCGGTTGAGGATAACTGTTTTAAAATTAAGTTGCAAGATCTGACCTAAACAAACATACAAACATTGCAAGTTAATAAAAATTTTGTAAAAATATTATTATAACAGAAAATGTAACATCCTGTATATAAAAAAGGTTCATAAACTTTGACATAATTTGAAAATTTAAGAGAAATAGGATTTTAAATAAACTTACTTGCATTTTAAATTGGAATTTTTTAATTATAAAGTTTTGACACCATTGATTTTGTCCATAATAATTGGTCAAATAGAAATCTATTATTACTAAATGAAACAGAATCATTTTAGTGGTGTTGTTGTAATTACTACATCCCTTATCTACCTTTCGCATAGCCTTTCTAATGTTGTCATGGAAAACTATGTCAGGCTTATTGGCCGGTCTGTTTTTGGGACAGTGTAATCCATCTTCCAGGTTTGTGTATGAAGACTACTACTACATCTCTCCGGTTTTTGGAATAGTCTCAGATCCAGGTGCGTTGTGAGTTTTTTCAGACCCCACTGAAGTAGGGCTGGATAGATACCGTCAGGTCCTGGCGATTTAAATGGAGAGAAACCTCGTCTACAATGTGTTTGGCAGTTTTCCAATCGTAAACAGATGTGTTGTATTCTTTCTCTGCCCGGTTGGCCACGCCTGTGAGTCAGTGAAGTGTGCTGACAGCAGAAGTTTGATTCTATCTTCGAGGTTTGCAGTGTTCATTCCATCCTCTTTTAATAGGGCACCAATACTGCGGTATGGATCTTGTAATAGAGCTTGAAGCCTCGCTACCAGCGGGGAACCTTTTATTTCTTCGCAGTAGGATTTCTATGCATTCCTCTATTTTTTATAACGATTTTTTGTATTCTCTCAGGTGAGTTTTTTTAAGTATCCCAGTCCTCTTTGAGTTTTGATTCTTGCTTTATTAAAAGATTTCGTAGCAATTTTCCTAAGATGATCTAACTCGTTACACCACCATGCGGTAGTCGTCTGACCGTGTTGGATCAGCCTCGAGGGGCAGGATTTCTTATAGACATTGATTATTTTGCTTTGGATAGTGTTTGAATACTTTTCTAAAGCATTGTTGTTTGGTGTGTCGGCCATCACCTGTCTCAGAGCCTCTTAGAGAAGGTGGGCATAAGTTGCCATATTCGTCTTCCTAGGATAACGTAGAGGACGGCAACATCGAGTTTATTTTGAAGCGGTGGTCTGAAATCGAATTGTCATCAGACACTTGCTAGTTTAGAATTGATTTATAGGTACCAGTTGTGGATAAAGTGATATCTTTTAGTATTTGACTGCGAGAATTTAAAAATGTTGGTGTTCTATCTTTATTTAAAGTACAAAGCTTTTTGGTAATTACAGTGACTTACCTCTAGCGTTGTTTGAGTTGTTATCCTTATTGACCTTCTACTAGCTCAAACTTCTGGTTCAAGCAGTATTCAATCAGATCCTCCAAATATGTGTCATTATTTACATACTATTTGGAGAAACATGTATACTATACTCTGTTTTTAAACTAGGAGGAGCGATTTGAAGTTAAGTTGGCAATTATGTAGACTTCTGATTGGTCAGATTGCAGTCAGTTTCACACATCACTTTTTAGCATTAACATCACAGCTAATTCAATTACTGACAATTATTGATAGTTTTGACATTTTATATTTTTAGTTTTATTATTGCTTTCATCCCTTTGATATCTCATCATTATTACTAGTTTTCTACTTTTTTTCGTTAACAACAGTTCTTTTTAGAATATCAGTAAGCAATTAATTGTATTGAATTTCTACAATTATGGGTCATTTTACACGGAATATGGGTAGCAGTTCCTCAAAAGCCATTCAAGAAAGGGGAGACGCCTTATTATTTTGCATGCTAGTTCTGAAGAAGGTTTAGTAGAAAAGGCGTTGTTGGTTTGTGAAGGCAAAAAGACGGAAAATTGCCATAAGAAATGAATTCAGAAGTATTATAAAAAAACTAACCTTATTACTGATTTTTTAAACTAAGAATTGATAAATTTTTTACCAAAATGATTAAATTGTAACTAAATATTGAAGTAAACTTTATTTATTAGAAAATTGACCATTTACAAAATAAAATATTTATAAAATATTTAACAGTTAGTAATGATATAATGTTGACATGTTTGTAGTGTTATGAAAATGTTGGTTCTAGTTTTCAAAACAAATCCTGACTGACAATAAGCTTTTAAATGCCTTCGTTTGCCCTTTAGCGTATCAACCATGTGTTAACACTAAATAAGCTACAGTAAATATATAATACTCATAAAACAAATTCCAGTCATTGTGTGATCCAGTTGCTTCGAGCATATAATATATGCTCCAAGTCCAGTTGATTTTCACTGAGAGTAAAGAGTACTGTATAGGTGTCCAAGCCACTAATTAAGTTTATACATATAACAAATATATCCTTGAAAATGTAAACAGACCATATTTTTATATTTTATACCAATCTGCATCTTGATATTCTGTTAACAATTTTCTTAAATATTCAATCTCTATTTCAAAAAGATAATAGGTATTCTCAAAAAGTCGATTTCAAAAGCAAGAAAAAATATTTCTCAAACTATAACGTAAACAAATCAACGGCCATATTGAATTTCATTTGACAATTCGTTTTAGACATGTTTCAGATCAAAATAAAGTGAAATTTACTACAGTTGTTTGGGACCAATAAAAATTGCGACTCCTATGACATTTAGTCGCTCTTAACCCCTTATTGGACGGCGCCG